TTTAGTAGCTTACGAATAGTTTCAAGTCAAATTCTACAAAAATTTTCAAAATAATTTGAATTTTTTTAATTTGGTCTGATATTTCTGATATATCGTGTTTATCCTATTTATCTACTAGATTTTTATTTCCGATAATAAAGACCCTACACGGAGCTCAGCGTCTTGCAACCCTTCCTACAAATCTCTCTCCTTGATGGTTTGCATTACGCTTGTCGGACCACCGGCACCCTGTGCCGTTTGGCGGTGTCTCCCTCAAAAGGTCGGTGCTTCTTCTCGGGGGTATTACGGACTGGCAGGATTGATTTAATAGTGGGTGTGATATGTTTCTGCCTTAGCTTGGTAGTTGACCCGAGCGCGAACGCCGGCAGGGCATACATGGCAGTTCGAGGCGGTTTCTGCATGGAAGACGCGATTCAATCTGTATAGTCCTCAACTTGGTCTCGACGAAGTCCGTGGTGGTCTCGACTTGGTCTTCTTGCATATCTATTTAGTCTATCTATTGGGCGCTTCGGTTTGATGAGTGGCATCAGCGTGAGATGCTGATGCTTTTATATATATTGTTTGGTTGGTGTTCTATTTGATTCGGTATTCAATTGTATTGTATTCGATATTCGTTTGTCTTGTTGGATCGATTTCGAACGGACAGTAAAAACGGAACCACAACGAGGGTGACGCACGAACGGTGACAGACTCGGCAAGGAAAATCGACGGCTCACCTAAAATCATTTTTCAACATATAGGAGAGCACTACTGCACCAAAATTTCTAAAACTCGTCTTTAATATTTTTTTGTAAATTAATTTAATTTGTTGTGCATGGAACCCACGTGTTCAACTGCAGGTGCTAATTGACACAATGTAGCTTCTTATTACATTAAATCATTTACAGGAAATTCAAACATTCTTGCTAAATCTTAAGGTGTGAAAGCAAACTTTTAGTTCTAGCCTCCGGTTTTTTATTTGGAGCCTATATGTTGTTCTTGTCGTGCAAAGTGGCACAGTGCATCATGTCACTTTGAATAATTTTCAAGAAATTTTTAGTCAATTTTTAATAAAATTTTAAGTTGTGAACATGAGACTTTACTTATAGGATGCAGCTTTTGACGTAGAACCCACCTACAAATCTTGCCACGCTAATTAATATAAACTAGCAAAAGTGCCCGTGCGTTTACAATGGGATAAAAAGGTCAAAGACAACATGAATGCATTATTTTCTCTGCAAAGTCTTGGAGTTTTATATTTACATCATTATTTTCCTATTGCAGTCAACTCTACACATTTGCTCCGAACCTACTCCCTCCGTCCGAGAATAAACGTACGTTTCCGGTTCAAAAAATTTCCCATAATAAAAGGTCATTATGAACTATCACATCACATTGTATCAGCAACAGCTAAGACCAAGGCAGTAAAAAATTAATTCATGTCAACATAAAAAAGAAAAAAACAATGGAAACGGCAGCTCCTCGTCTCGATCTCCCCGGAGGCTCTCCAGAAGCTCCTCGTCTCGTGCCTGTCTCCAGTCTCTAGGGGCTGCCCAGCAGGCCAGCACGCAGGGCGAGGCAGGAGAGCAGCAGCTGCAGCCCCGCTGCATCGATGGACTAATGTTCACCGAGCAAATATTGTAGGGGCATTTTTGTCATTTTAGCTTCATCTTGGTATTCGTGCCTAAACCTAGATAGGCAAATATTATTGGACGGAGGGAGTATATAATTTTGACTGTGGCGTCAGCCAAAGGCTTATTTAATTATCTCTTCGAAGTAACTATGACAACAGTTTTTGTTAAAGCCGAAGTCAATGGCACACAATTAATCTTTGAGGAATATAGTCTAGTTTATAGAAAGTTTGAGAGCCTATGTTTAAAGTGCCATGAGCCTTACCCCAGCGGCCGGACAAAAATAGCGATTTATTTGCCTGTGTGTCGAGCCTTCTAAACTTCTGAGTTGCCTGCCGCCTGCCATCTCTTCGCCTTTCGCGTCGCCGTCCGCGTAGCGAAGCGAGGCCGGCCCAGGAGGGTCCCCTCTGTCGCAGTGGCACTGTACGGAGTGGCTGGGACCGGCAGGTTCGCCAACCTTGGAGACCCGTGTTCTACGTTGCTCGTGAGATCGGCAGCAGCACGGAGGGTTTTCTTTATAGGCCTAAATGCACCGATTTTTTCAAAATTTCCTTTCTATTCATGGGGTCTGATAAAATTGGATATCGGCCAAATTTTTTCTATTTTTCTAGCTCCCAAGCAGACGACTCAAATTTAGCCGCTCAAGATCCTGCACTAATAGTGTTTTATTCTTGTTTTTATCTATGAATAAGTGATGTTTAGTAGCTTACGAATAGTTTCAAGTCAAATTCAACGAATTTTTTCAAAATAATTTGAATTTTTTTAATTTAGTCCGATATTTTCGATATATCCTGTTTCAAGTCAAATAAGTGATGTTTGATGAGTGGCATCAGCGTGAGATGCTGATGCTTTTATATATATGGTTTGGTTGGTGTTCTATTTGATTCGGTATTCAATTGTATTGCATTCGATATTCATTTGTCTTGTTGGATCGATTTCGAACGGACAGTAAAAACGGAACCAGAACGAGGGTGACGCACGAACGGTGGGTGACAGACTCGGCAAGGAAAATCGACGGCTCACCTAAAATCATTTTTCAACATATAGGAGAGCACTGCTGCACCAAAATTTCTAAAACTCGTCTTTAATATTTTTTTTGTATTTCTATTTCCTTGTCTCCTAATATTTCCTTTTCTTTTATTTTTCATTGTGTCATTTTCTCTAGATTTTTGTGGGCGGCCTTGCTCCCATCGGAGACGGTGGCATTTATTTGGAATTGTCGCAGGTTCGCAGCCATCAGCGTTGGAGATTTGGCTATTCGAGTTCAAGAATAGGCCGCCGTCAGCTTTTTCTTGGATCGCGGCGACTTCCGCATCCTGATCGTGAAGAGCCTGGAACGTGCCATCCTCCATGGCCGATGAACAGGCACCCGCTGTGTGCAGGAGATGCGGCGCGCAACGGGCAAGCGGGCGTCGTCCGTGACGGGACAGCTGCACACGCGACGGTGAGCGGGGCGGCGGCGTCCGCAACGGCCGAGTGTCCGTGACGGCCAAGCTTCACGCGCGACGGGTTAGTTGCACGGTGCGATGGCCGAGCGGGGCGGCGACGGCCGATCTGCACACACGACGGTCAAGCTGCACGTCACGGGCAAGCGGGGCGGTGGCCTCCGCAACGGCCGAGCTGCATGGTGCGACGGCCGAGTAGGGCGGCGGCGTTTGATTAAAGCTTAAATTAGTCTGTGTCTTGTGTCCACGCGTGAGTCCAATTTCAACGCGCGACATGAGTCCGTGTTGGGTCCATGCGTGAGTCCAATTTCAGTTTGGTTCCGCGTCCATGTGAGTCTGAGTTCGGTAGCCCAGGGGCAGTTATGTTCCACTTACTATAAGAAGGATACGTAGCAACACCTCTTTTTATCTGTCCCTTCCTACAGTGGGAATGTTCGGGTCCCACTAGACCAGCCGCCCCTACAACAGAGACCTATCTATGCAGGTTACCTCAAAAAGCTCTGCATCTATCATATATATAGATAGATTAAACAAGACGGCTATAGCCAACCAAACAGAGAGCGTTTCCACATTCACGAAGTTAGTTAGGAAAGGCCATACTAAAAAAAAATGACAGAATTTTTGCCTTTTTATTATTTGATATATAGATATAAACTAGACATGAACATTTCTGGAGCCAGACAAATAAACGCAAGGTTTCCAACATGTAAAATTGTGCCCACAAACATCCCTCGGGCCTTGGGCTGAGCTCGGGCCATGCCAATGCCTAGGCTGGCCGCACTATTCTTAGTAAGAAATAGTTTAATTTTCCTCAAACAAAAAAAGAAATAGTTTAATCAAATAAATTAGGTAAGCCTCCAGGCCAACAATTTTTTCAGGTTTGCTTATCACTGTTAAGTTGTAGGAGGGGCTAAAACTAGTGGGCTCGGGCTAGGCCAAAAATGCTCATGTTTAGCATAAAGTAACTTCATGTCACATTGAACCTTATCCAATAAATTTCAATTATTTTTTGCTAAATTTTTAGGTGTGAATGTGAGATTTTAGTTTCAGTGTCCGACTCTGATGTGGGACCCACAAGTTGATCATGTTGTACCAATTGGCACAAAGTAGCTCCCTGGTGTATTAAATCATCTCCAATATTTTTTTTGAGTCAATTTCAATAAATTTTAATATGTGAACACAAAGTTTTTATTCTGGGGTCTGGTTTTTTATGCTGTCTGCATGTTTTATTCAAACTCATATATACCTTTTGCGCAAATCCATAGGTTCAAGTAGTGAACCCCTATGTTCCACTGGTTGGTGAATTGGATTGGGCCGGCTTCAAACAATAAAGTTATGGAGTGGGATGGGTTGGGAGGCAAAAGAGTTAATTTACTATTACTTGGATTAGATAAGGGTGAGTTTTTACCCGTTAGCACGGCTACATACACATTTGCGGACAAATAAAAACCTCCGAGGCTTAGGACATGCCTCTCTAAACTTTAGAGCTCTAAAAACTTTAGAACATTTTAGCTCAGTTTTCGAGAGCTAAAGCTGTAATGTGATGTGAGCTACAGATTAGAGCTAATTTTAGACCACTTATTTGGAAACTTTAGCTTAAAAAAGTTTAGTGGCGATCCAAACAGGCCCTTAGAGCAACTCTAAAAGACTCTATATCGTTCCTGATTGTTAGGAATAGAGATTTTGAGGAAAAAATACCCTCCAATAATTTCTTTAATTGGGTATCTAAATATAGCCGTCTTCTATTACGGATTTCTCGCCTTTGATCGGGTACTATTCTGCCTTTGATCGTTTGATGAGTTCTTTGATCTCCATGGTACCCAGTGTACCGCAGGTCAGAATTGTACATCACTTTCCTTTATTGAGCAGTTTCTTACTTACAGATTTGTCATGGAAGTCAGGGCATAGTTTAATTCTATTCGTACAAGGTTGCTTCATACTTCCTCTACTCTGACCATGGCACATGCATTGTCTGCCTTACTTGCTGAAGAGACACGTCTTCAGTCCTTGTCCTCTTCTGTGTCTCAACCTCATAGTGTGTTGGCAGCTTCTTAGAGGACTAGTGCATCAAAGAACCTTGCAAGCATTGTGGCAGGACTAATAATCGCTCTGATACCATGTTACTAACCTCGAGGATCTAAGAAGATAGTCACTCCATACGTGGAGAGTATTATATAGAGAGAGCTTCATGGGCTACATGGGCCCATAGATATAGGGCCTTCATACACATAACAATATTTATGGAGGCTAGTAGTAGACTGAAGCGACTGACAATGGGCTAAGCTTCAATTAACAAAGGCGGTCCTCCAAAGGTGCCCATCTCTGGAAATGGTGGACGGACACCATATAAGGCCAACCTCTATTAACTAGTTTTTAGAGCAGCTAGTATTTTTTTCGTGTCAACCGTAATTGAGAATTGATATATATTTTTGGAGACAGATACACATTTTAACCGCCTGTGTCTATAAATTAAGGAGCCTATCTTCTAAAATCGACATTTTTATAGTAGTGTGGGGAAGCAGGTACCAACGACATGCCTCTAGGCTAAAGACGAAAAGAACGCTGCAAGCTAAACAGCTCCAGAATCTGCTCCAATATATATTTGAATTGTGTATGTAGGAGAGCATGCGGATGCGTATTGAAAAAATCTGCTTAGTCGCTGTATTTTTTATAACAGTAGAGGTGGGTAATTTTAAATAAATTAAATAGATCAAATAGTTATTATTGCCGATGATGATTAAAGTCTATGACATTAAAGGATATATGTTTTATGGTTATTATGAGAATTTTAAATATTTATTTTTTTAGTACGACCAGTGAAAATTAAGATGGAGTCTTTATGAGGGCCTCTAATTAGTAAAACTAACATAAGATATGAGTGAGTGCATAAAAGGAAAAGCAAACTTCTTGATGACCACTTAGCAATGAGCAATGACTGAAAAGTCAGAAACCTGTGTATTAATTGAACATGCCTTACCGTGGCTTTCTTCTTTGAGTAATGAGAAATGATCAGGTGTAACTTGTCATCTCGAGTGAAGAAATCAAAATATTCCGCGTCTTTTGCGCCAGACAATGTTGATTCCCAACTGGGAGAACTAATATTCCATACCTGTAGTTTTGGCAAACGTATATTTACGTTAATGATATATGGGCCACCTCTGTTTAGTAAAACTAAGATGATGGACAAAAAAAACCATTGATGTACCTTCGCATCACCAGTACTGGAAACGGTAACAAAACGATTTGGATCCATTGGGTTAAACTTGACTTGACTTAGATCGATTTGCGTATCAAATGTCCTAATGCAAACCCAGCCGTTTTCCCAGTCCCACAGTTTAATCGTTCCAAGTACTGTCCACCTGGAGCTGTGGCGGCGGCTAGAAGATGCTGACAGCAGAAAAGGCCCAGTTGGATGGACGTCCAATGAAATGTCACTGGCGTGCTCATGAGCTCGAAATTTCTTTATTTCTGAAAATAAATATGACTTCAATCCCTTGAAATTCCGCATGGCAATATAACTGTACACTTCTATAAAACCCCAGTCGGATCCGACCACAATCCACTTTTCTCGTGCAATAAACTTCGCAGTTCTAGCACCCCATATTCTGTCTTCATAATAATAGCTGGAATCTCGAGTTTCAAATCTTCTGCCACCAGAGAAAGGCACCGGCTCCTGCACAAAGCTACATGGTTGACCTTACTGAGTCCAAATACACACGAATCGGTTTTCTCACCATGGTAATAAGAACTTATTTTTGATAAGTGGTAATAAGAACATTAGATGATCGATGAGCGCTGTGGTGGAGGCTAATTTTAACGCCATATATTAAGAAGTTCAACCACTACTACTGTATAACATGGTTAATTTTCACAACATTCACCACGTGAAAAATACTAAATACCGATGGGCTATAATCATAACCTATAAGGCGGCAGTACGTGCCACTAACCACATGTTAGAGCATCTCCGAGAGAATTGGTATCTAACTTGTTGTTGCTATTTTTAGCTAAAGCTCTAGAAAACTGACCTTCAACAGACTAGCCAATACGATTGTTATCCTATTTGACATGACATACTATCCTTAAGCCTGGGCAGCCAAATTTGGCTAGCCCCCGTGCCTTGCTATCTTGGTGTATGTGAGGCTAACAACTAGTGCCATGTTTGCGTTGCTTCAAATTTCTTTCTTTCTTTTGGAGACATAACTAGTCTGTTGGAATATGTTGAATTATGGAGAAAAAATTTTATGGAGTGAATAGCTAAATGAAGATATGGAACATGAAATTTAGAATGTCTCTTAGAAATGCTCTTAGAGTGACCAGCACATGTGCCCATTGTATTTTAAGGCCAATAGTGACAGCCCACGACTAAATACTACCACTATAATACATATTGCCACCCATGATCTGATATAAAAACAATGACGTGTGATTGTGAAAAAATTGACGTGATTGTATCACTTTTGACTGAGTCAAAAGTGATGGATTTCTTAAGGGATAGTATTGATGTGTACATGTGCTTACAAGGGAGAAACTACACAAAGAGCCCGAATGGGAATTGTGCAAGTATTTGTGACAGAGACGTGTGTTGAGGGGGAGTGCCACCTGAAGGGGAGTTTAAGTTGCTATGGTTTTGTGCTAATTGTGTTGACCGCTTCTTGAGGGACTACCACTACTACAAACTCAGTCACTAGTATCGTTTCTATAACCAATATCACTGCTAGACTTGAAAGTGGCAGTGAACAAGCGACAGTGATGCCAAGGCGTTCTACTTCCCGATCTCTCACCCGACAATCATACCGGTTTCTAGAAAACAAAACGAGAGAAAATCTCGAGCGAGCTCGGGCTGCTGCGAGCTTGCCCTCGCCAGCCATGGTCCTACACCGTTGACACCACCATTGCTGCTAGTGCTGGAAGACCGAGCAACACACGCCGTCCCCCTTGCTTCTCAAGGTGCCGAGAGATATTAGGAGAGAGAAAATCAGTGAGATGAGACCGGGAGAGAGAGGGGATCTAGATGGGATTGAGAGGCGGGAGAGGAAACCGGACTAGAGGAGAGCTTGCGCTAGTGGACCTGCATGCCTGGCACAGCGCTGCCTAGGGTAGCTCCCGTCGCCGCTACTACCTAGGGTAGCTCGTAGGGGGGGATGTTGCTGGGGGGAGGAATGGTTTGCGCACCAACAGATTCGAGAGGAAGGGGCGAGGATGAGAGACGAATTGATGAGAGTTTAGGATGCACTTCAAACACACAAAAGAAACCATAGTTGATACAACATTTTGGGTCTCAATAGCTTATCACAGTCGAAAGGTGCTGAGACTAAAGATGGCAACGGTGCGTACTTGCTGGTCTCCACGAAAAAAATATGCCAGTTAAAAAACCCACAAACGGACGTCCATACCCATGCCCGAGTGGATAACGGGTACCCGCGGGTTGCCCGTGCCCGACAAACTGCAAGCTTCATCAGTGTGGTGCATGCTCCTGCTTTGCCTTGGTTTTATAGAGTGCGCGCAGCTTCAGCTGTGCATGACCCAGCGAGGTGGGACTAAATGTGCTTGCTGCCTGTGAAGCACTAGCACTAGAGTCTGAAGAGCAAACCATTTCAGCAGTTGGGCCCAAGAGGCCAAGCCCATAATAGGATCAGAGCAGTTTGGGCTGCAAGCAAGATGAGAGTAGCGGCTTGTTCTTTTTGTCTTTCAATTTGTAGTTGGTTTCTCTCATTGTTGAATATTTCTCTATGTGAAAGTTTCTAAATATATTTAGTGAGCATATAAATTATTTGCTAATACAAGATCTAAAAACTAAAGGATTTGTTTACATACGCATGCCTTTATCAAACCGTTTGGGATGGGAAAGACTTCATATGCGCCTCTAAGTCGATCAATCTAGTTGAGAAATTTAGGATATTGTAGGGTGATTTGAGCTACAATTCTATGATGGAACGGGTTTAAAAAACCCATGGGTTTACGGGTTTGGGTACTGCATGCCCAGACCCACATCCACAAACCCACTGGGTCTGGCTTTTTGCCCATTAACAAACCCATGGGTAGAGAAATTGACACATACCCATGCCCTAATAGGGTAAAAACTCATTGGGTTTAGGTTCTCGGGTACCCATTGCCATCTCTAGGTGAGAACCTCAAGTGCTTCTATTACTGCCCGTTGTTAGTCATACCTTGCAGTGATATATTGTCACTGTAGGATTGCATTTATAACCAGTGGTTATATCTATTTCCACAAAAAAAAACTGACGGTGATAGCTTGTCACTACCGATTTCAAAGCACCCGACAACGATAAGGTCAGGCAATATTGGTGGGTTTTGTAGTAGTGCTAGCACTTGCTTCTTGAGTTTGAATTGCTTTGTCTTTGTGCTAATGGTGTTAAGGGCTTGTTTATTTGAGCTGCAGCTGTTGGGCTATTAGCTCAAAAGCTGGATTTCTGGCTTTCGACAGCTAGCTTTTTTGCTATTGACTTTTCTAATAATTTTTTAGCTTCTCAGCACACCAATAGCCAAAAAGCTTCTCTCAGCATGCCTTTTGCATTGGCTTTTAGTTTAATTCCTAAGAAACCAACTTTTTAGCTTTTCAAAGGCCAGTTCAAGAGTTGGGCTGTTTGTTTAGCTTGTAGAAGCCATAAAAAAGCTGAAACAAACAGGCCCGGGAGCCTCTTTGCTTCTTCTTGAGGAGATAGCACACTTAGTTCTTTCTTGGTTGTGTTGATCCCATGTCCATGCCATTGGGAACCGAGTTTGCTCATTTTGTGTGTCTTTGCTCTTGGCCTTACTTTTGCCTTTTTGGTCACATGAATGAGTTCACGTTTTATTGTTCCTTCTGGTTCATCTCTTTGCTTTAGTCTTGACAATGAACTCATAAAGGAGGATAATGAGATGATATGCTATGGATATGTGGCCATGTCACGTATGATAAGTGATTGAAAAGGTGAGATGATGGAGCTTTGATTGAGTTGGTTCTAGCATGAGTTGAACAAACCAATGCGTCTACTTGGTGTGTGTGGTCCAATATGCATTTTGGCATGTGATGTGTAGGTGTTGGCCATATTAAGGGTCGATGGTAATGGCTAAGGTAAGCGAGAAGTTTAGGCCAATGCACCACAGGAAATAAGGGACCAAAGGTCGAAGGAAGGACCATGGATGGCTAGCACTTGGGCGCAGCTTCAAGCAGGAGTAGATGCGAGATGAAGGTTGGAGATGGTGTCAACTGAAGTGAAACTTAGAACTTGACCAAGTCAAGCTATCGCGCAACAGGATTTTTTGGGTTGGATAGGCTGGGGACTTGGCGTTCACGCATCAAGATGATGAAGACTGTGTAGAGGCTACACAACTACAGAGGGTTTGGCCATTTTGGCATCAAAACCATAGGTGATTGGTTTACTGGTTTGGACCTCAAAATTACGAAGTGGAGGATCAACGGAAATATGGTGGCATCTCCAAGCTTGCATCACTAGTTTTTTATAAAATAAATATATAGGCAAAACCACATTTAAAACAACTTAGAGGGCCATATTTGTCTGACTTTTAAAGTCCGATGGCCAAGATACCTGGTTTTAGTGTACAGTGGTCAAAAATAGACTTTCCTTCTAAAAGAACAATGCTACTATATGCCAAGATTCTATATAGCTTATATTATGGATGTTGGGGTTGTATCATATGTTAGAAACCCCTATTAGTGTAGAAAGGCCCAATTTGCTAAGCCCAGGGGCTTGCTTAGAGCAACTCCAGCAGGGCACCCAAATCAGGGCCCCTACTTTCAATTTGGGTGCTCCCCCTACTTTTGGGTGCCCAATTTTTTTCTTCCAGTCCAACAATAGCACCTAAATTTGGGCCCCCAAATCTATTTTGGTACACAATTTCAAACGGGACCCGCTCGTAATTCTCTCTTCTTTCTTCCTCCTCCATCGCGCGAGCTGGTCCAGACGCAGAGAATGAGAAGGGGAACTCCAGCTTCCTTCCATGGAGAGCGAGCGCGCAGAGGGGCCGCGTGGGACCTACGTCGCTTTGTCCGCCGTGGACCGCGCTAGAGAGAGGGGAGGGGCTACGCAAGGCAGACACCATCATCTTCGTTGGCACCATGGCAGGCGCCTGCAGCCTAATCCGGCTAGTGGAGTAGAGGGCGCGCGGGTCATCCACCGCTGCCTCAGCATCTTGCACCATGGGAGGCGATGCTACCACCGGTGCGGGAGGGAGCGGGCGTAGGGAGGGGGCTGCTAGAGGGGCGCCGCCGTCGTGGGCTCTACACCGCAGCTCGCACTACAGGATCTGCCAGAGGGAGGGGAGGTGAGAAGCAACGGTCCTGGTTCCATGTGTAGAGGAGGGGCACTGCCATCGTGGGCTCTAAACCGCTACGCTGCTCCTTCTATCGCGGAATCTGCAGAGGGGAGAACGGAGGCACGCGCGACTGAACAGAACACCAACAGATTTAGGGGCTTGGCCTAGAGCCCCTAGGAATGGGTGCTAGAGGGGGATTTGGGTGCCCACCCAAATTTGGGTTTCCAAGTAGGGGCCCTGCTGGAGCTACGTTTTTGGCATGGGCACCCATATTTAGCTATGGGGGTGAAAGCCCTAGTTTGGTTTTGACTAATTGATGAAACCTATTGGACTAACCCTATGTCTAAGTGTGATTATGAGATAGGTTAGTCCAAGTCGAAGTAATGGAGCTAGACTAGCACTCAAGTGATGGAGATGGACAAAAGATTGAGATCAAGTGCTCCAACTCAGAAAAGAAGAAAGAGAAAAACAAAATGGGCTCAAGGCAAAGGTATACTTGATAGAGCCATTTTATTTTGCCAATCACGACGTTAATAGAGTGTGTGATTGATTTTTGGATAGATAGCCATCTTTGTGAAGATGGGAGAATTGTGGTTAATGCACGGTTATCAAGTGCCACTAGGTGATCTAAGTCTTTGCATATGCATTAGGAGTTGCCCTATAGCGGTCCGACCAGTTCTGCGAGCACGCACGCAGCAAAGAGCCGTTGAGCGTGGCAATGGTCGGTTTGATTCAATGGGGACACGTGGCAGCTTGGCACTGGTTGGGCCACACTGTTGGACCGGTCTGATGGCTCGTAGAAGTGGTCCGACGATCGGTCTACAACATGGCCTTGGGGAGAAACGGCTAGTTGAGGGCTTGGCCCTCTATATAAGCGTGTTAGCCGGCCATAGCTCACTCTCTTGCACATTTTCATTGGTGATACATCCTTGTGAGCTAAGTCAAACACCTCCCACTCAATTGGTTCATGTGTTGATCATCTTTTGTGAGATTGGGAGTGATCCTAGTTGCATTTGTTAAGAGTTTGAGCATCTAGTGGCACTAGAGATCGTGTTGCTGTGGATTTTCTTGTTACTCTTGGTGGTTGCCGCCACCTAGACAGCTTGGAGCAGCGGGATCATTGAGCGAAGGGTGGTGATTGTCTCCGGCTCCGATCATGGTGATTGTAAGGGGTTTCTTATACCTTCCCCATGAGAGACCGCAAAAGGTAACTCTAGTGAATTACTCATAGCTTATGAATCCTCATTTTGTGGTTGGTTACAGCGGCACCCAAGTGTTGGGTTAGGTGTGTGATGCCTATTAGCTCGTGAACCTCCAAGTGTGTGTATCGCTACAACGAGAATGTAAGTTGCCGGCAAGCAACCGAACCTCGGGGATAAATCTTGTATCCCATTTGTCTATTGGTTTTGATTATTGACACTTGCCTCGCCGGTAACCCTCTCTACCACTCTTGCATTTCATACATACATACCTTGTGTAGTATCTAGCTTGCCTTTATAATTGTGATAGCCATTAGTTGTATCTAGTTGTATTAGTTCTCTAGCTTGTCAAATTGCTAGGTTGTTCATTTGCTCATTTGATTGTTTGAGTG